CCAAGCATAGGCTTTCTTGATCTTGTGTAGGAACGTTGGTTAGGATCTATCCCGTATAAGATAGCTAGTTATGATCAAATGGGCAGTTGACTCAACTGTAATCTTTCTCTTATTTTTATTTGAGTCAAAATCTATGGTTTCGTTCGTATTGTTAGAGCATAATAAGCCCTCAAGTTTTTGTAACAAATAATTCCAAGAAAAAGGAAAACATTTTGAATAGAACTTTATTCTTTCGCATTGCTACGAGTTTCTCCCTCTCCTCACAAGTATTGCTTATGTTATGTATTTCGATATATAACTATTAAATAAAGCAGCTAGTTTGATAACATAACGTTATGTCTACTTGGACCATGTGATTGTCGATATATATATAATAACATATTATAACATATATAACGGTGGCAAAAAGAGTGAAAATAAAAATTTATTATATATAAAACGAAAAGATAATTATGTATATAAAAACTGACATTTAAAGAGAATATAGCCTCTACTACTTCTAAAGTCCGGAAATTAATTTTCTCCTTTAAGATGCTTCGAGACGTAGCAAGTATAAACATACTGAAAATCCATCTACCTCGCCCTATGTCAATCCATACTCTCATACTGCATTCTGGCCTGGGGCGTAGCAGCCACATCTCATCTAATTACCCTTGAAAGAGCTCAGAGAGCAGTATTGAAAACTATTTTAAAGAAACAGTTTCGGTATCCCACAGACACTCTCTTTAAAGAATTTGGGGTCCTGAGCGTGAGAAGAATATTTATCCTTAGGGCAGCCCTTGATTACCACAGAGAAGTTCCTAAAATTACCAACTTCAAATATTTGCTACAAAACGTACTCCTATAATCCCGACGCCCTCAGTTAGGACGGCTTTTGCTCGTCGTTTTAGCTCCTACATGAAACCTTACTTATATAACAGACTCAATAAACAATACAAAATTCTTAACCTTAATTACGAAGAAGTTAAAAGAAAGTTAACAAAAGAACTGTTTAATTGGTCCTACTCTTTTTCGAAGGACTTTTTGAAATGCATTAAGTAACCCTAAACATGTATAGTAAAAATCATTACACCTGTTTCTTTTCTTTTATATATACCTAGTCAGGTCATAAATTCTGTCACACGTTTAATGTAAAATAATTGAAACAAGTTTATTCATTATGTAACCATTCATATACCAAAATGAACTTAACAAAACATAGATTCTTATGACACTAAAGTTTATTCAAAATGACCTCCGTGATTTTGAATACAGGCCTTCAATCTGCGCGGCCAGTCGTCTATCGCAGCACGAACGAGGTCCATGTCAATATCGGCGGCTGCCTTAATCAAGGATGTCTTGAGTGACTCCAAATTGGGATGAGGCTTTGAGCACGCCTTTTCCTCCAAGTGTTGCCATATCTTGTAATCTAACAGATTCAAATCTGGACTGGAGGAGGGTCAGTCTTCGTGCCGGATGAAGTCGATTTCACGCGCCGCCAGCCAGTCTTGTGTGCTCTTCGCTCTATGAGCTGGCGCCGAATCTTGTTGGAATACCCAGTGCCTGTTATTGAACATGGTATGAGAAACAGGTTCCACAAGGTTCGTCAGGACTGTATTTTGATACGCAACTGTATTCGTTTTTACACCTTTCTCACAAAAATGTACCTCTGTTAAGCCCCAATAAGAAACTCCCAACCATACCATGAGCGAGGATGGAAAATGACCTCGTTGGACACGTGGAATACGGTTGCTCGCTTCTTCACTACTGTGTGCGTACACCTTATCATTTTGTTTGTAGCTCTCTTCTACGGTAAAAAAAATTTCATCCGAAAAAAGAATTTCCCGATATTTTTTTCCCGCGTACCGCTTCAGCAAAGCGCGGTATCTCTTCAGTCTCAGGTCCATTAGACGAGCATTCAAACGATGTCCTGTTTTTCTTCGATATGCCCGAAGCCCTAAGTCTTCATTTAACACACTTTTCACCGTGGTTCTGCTTAACCCCATCTGAAGGGCCTACAGTTTCTGCTTACGTTTGGGATTTCTTTGAATTCGCGCCTTCACAGCTTTTATCACTGCTGGAGTCCTAACAGACCAAGGGCGACCACTTCTTGACCTGTCATCTACACTAGAGTCTTCATTGTATCGTTTGATGGTACGATAAACGAATCTTTTGGATATATTAAAATTTTTCAGTATGTTAAAAATTTGAATTGGCGCGTAACCGCAACGATGCAACGCAATAACTCCAACACGGTCTTCTTTAAGCGTCCACTCCATATTTAAAAATGAGTAAAATTCTAAAAAGTATACATTTTTATTTTCATAAACAATTCGAAATTCGAATTCAATAAACTTTTTTGTGGCTAGCATTCTAAAAGAAAAGTTTTTACTGTGTGACAATACTTATGACCTGACTAGTTATATATGTTTATATTTGTATGATAAATATAAATGTCTTTTCCAGGGTTATGGATGTATATTAAATATATGTATGTGTATAATAAAAATCTTACATTTATATCCGTTATCTGGTACCTGTAACACAAGTTCTTTACGAACTTATCACGGGACCAGTTAACGTGGCGTGATTGTTAGTAAATATTTATTTATTTATTTATATATACATATATATATAATATTCGCTTAACTATTTTGATTTGCTCGTATATTCACACCGTTATTACTAGTTTTAAGATACTCCTGTAAAAAACTCTCCACGAGGCAGGCAGTGCCTAGTGTGGAGAGTTTTTAGCAAACTGTTATGTGTAAATGTTTTCAAGGTTAATAAATAAATTATTATTATTTAAAATATCAATGTTTTATTTTTATAATCATAGCTACATACCGCTTTAACGGACATTACTTGATCTTTTTTTTATTATGGCTCGCACGGTTTGTGCATTAACCAGTGTCAAGTAATAAGATTTTTTTCGCCGATTTAATGATTTACAGTATATGAATAATAAAAAACGAAGGAAACTGTCCATGCTGGCCATTATTAACATCAGTGTAAGTATGAATTCAATTAGCAGCGTGGGATGGTACAGATAAATTAAGGTGAGAAACTAATTTGATTAATATAGTAATTAGCTCTGCAAATGATAATATGATGTGAAATGAAATGAAGTTGATTAATATTATGAAACATGGCATGAGATGAGATGATATGGGATGAAATATAATCTCAGTAAAATGGTGGTTATTTACTGAGAATTTTTCAGTGGACTTTTTGGAGGATCCCGAGAAGTTACGTTCAGCGGTTTTGTTTAATTTTCCCACATATAAGCACTTTCACAGATACTAAAAAGTTAATAAGCCACCGTTATTACACATTTAAACCTGAAGAAACACTAAATAGACAAAATAAAACAAATCACACAACTTCGCTCTTCGCGTTCCCGCCAAAAAGTAAGTTTTTTTTTTATGACCTGGTGACAGAGACCTTTAGGTCATATCTTATTTGGAAAATGTTCATTACTTTGGGGCCAAAAATCATCACTTGATCTTGCCATAGATAACATTACAAACCATAGATAATCTTAATGAATATTTTGTGATCCAAATTATCATGGAGTTTAGAACACGCCACACTCTAAAAGCGAGCGACTGTAAAGCACAGTCAAGCGAATTATTATAAAATTCGGACTAGACGAATCAGCTTTTTACCACTGATAAGTCAGAATCTGTTTTTCTAGCCACATTAGCGTTATCCAGTTCTGAGTCTTGTTTAATTAAAGGACCATTTTTGCTTATGAAATATTAAGAAGTTGACCACAGTCTCTAAAACCGTATCTTGAAACACTCTGTTTTTTTAAATCGGATAATGCATATTGTATAATACTAACTGAGAATTTCCTATAATTTTGAGCATATACTAGGTCATTCTTAATAAAAATGTATTCTAAAGTAAATAAAAAAATTCACCAGTTATTAAAGACTGTTCTATTATCTGTTCTACACTTGGCGTACCGCTTAAGAAATTGTTTTGATTTTACTTTATGCGTTAATAACCAGTGTCCCTGTATAGGTTGCATTACATTTTTTAAAACGCGACAGTCTTTGATGCTATGTTCATTGCCCTTGATAAAATCTTTTGCTTCGTGCAGGTTTTTTTATATTATTACCTACACTGCTTTGATTATTTTAGTACGAATCCTATGTGAATGGTGAGATATGCGTCTGTCACCCACAGGGGACGATTCATTACACCTATCAATTGCTCTAGGAAACAAACTTTCGTAAATAATAATAAAAAAACTATAGTTTTCATACGAGAGGGATAAGTTCCAAATTTAAATGTCTTTATTTTTTGAGTTCTTAATGTTTTTATGTTTTTTTTATCAGTCTTCAGACCTCTTTTAAGTATAAAACGTTTTTGAATTGCGAAACTCTCTGCATAGCTAAAAGATTAAGCACACGTCACTTTGCTAAAAATAAAGATGCAAGTAACTACCAAGCATGACGTGTACAGAATTATGTTATAGTTCGCGCAGCCTGCATTATCAACTTTGTAAGAACTCAGAATGTGCTTTGCAGCGCATAGCTGTGCAACTGTGCGACAGAGCCTTTTTTTTATTGCTTATTACAATATTAAATATTCGCTGTGTTATATTTTAATTTTATTCTTAATATATATATTATAATTCCCGATGTTGATTGTTAGTTTTTGTAGCGTTTTGAATAGATAGGTTGTAAGAATTTACTTTAAATCGACAATTTAAATTATGCGATACTGATTGCATCGTTATAAAGAAACAGTACATAAATTAGTGTTAAGTAAGTACTGTATTCAATTATCGAAGAATAAACAACTATCGTAAATACATTTAATACGCCAGTGCCGCAGCCATGGGCCACTTCGAAACAAACATAATATTTATTTAATAGTTTATGTTTGATCGAATCACAGTCGAATTCGCGTAAAGCAAAATACGTACACTACACACGTATGTAGAGAAAACATAACATTGTTCGTTTAGCGGACTTCATCTTAAATAGTGAGGTTGAATGAAAACTTACCTTTGGGATTCGGGGTATTTGTGTTCTGTAGAATGTTATATAAATTAGGGCGATCCTCTTCAAACGTCAAATCAAATATGCTCTTATTGAGAATTTCAGTCTGAAAGAAAAAAAAACAAAGTATAAATTTTAATGTTGGCGTGATGAATTATTATTACAATCAACTCCTCCAACCAAATTTGATCCTTAACCCTTTGACTGCCGTGTAGGTCACTGGTGCTCTACGTAGTGCACTGAAATAAATTTTTCATCTTCTCTCTTCAATCTTCTTACTAAGGCGTCGGAATATCTAGTAAACTCTGGGAAAAACGAATCCGAAGATACTGAGTATGAATCCATTTCTAAGAGACTTGAACGATTAAAACATACATTAACAAACAAAGGTATGCAAACTTAGGCAAACTAGACGCCTTAGTAACAGAAATCAACATAATTACTACAGTGCGCCGCGTAGGGCGTCGGTGACGTACACGGAAGTCAAAGAGTTATAAATTGACTTAGTTGGTCTTCACTCTAAAACTTGTCTCCTGCAGCGATTGCTTGATTGTAAGCTTGAGAATGACTTTGGCCTTATCAGTCATCATGTGACCCAATTTCGAATTTTAATTCTATATTGACGTATACCTACACATACTCATAGTTCAAGTATATTGAATACAAGTATTACAGTAGTACAAGTATTCAATACACTTCCTTTACTGAACAAGTACATGTATACATATACATATTAAGATAAAAACTCATTACTACATTGCTAGCATTTCGTTTTCACACTGGTCTATCTCCAATGACAATTTCACAACAGATCAGTCTTTAACTCTTGTAGCTTACTAGGCTACTATAATAAGGATGTATATACGATAATTTCCCATATTAATAACTTTATAATTAACATAGTAAAAAAGATGACTTATTTCTATTAGGTACCCTACCGTATACTTACTGGATTGTAACCAAGAAGAGATTTAATGCTTTCGGAGACGTAGTAGATTCGACCTGACGCAGAAAAAACCATGACAAATCCTTCTAACGCTTCAAGAACCAAGTATGTAAACTCTTCATTTGATAGGAAAGTTGGTTTCCAATCTTCTTGTATGTCATGTGCTCGAGATCTTACTGTTATTTCTAAAACAAATTAATATAAAGCAACGGTCAATACAAAAATGATCATGCATAAAAGTCTACAATGTTTTAGTATCGTTATTACATAGAATTTGAAAATCATAAGTATTGTTGGTGGAAAATGTTGTTTTTTTTTATCTATTTTGATGCATTGATAGTTGCATTTTCAGATTTTTTCAACATAATAATTACTTAATTGACCATTTTTCATTATTATCTAATATAGTATTTTTCTGGTAGCATACATAAACTACTCAAGGCTCACTTGAAGTCAAATAGTTACTGGAGAATTTACGGTAGGTCCATCCCAATGAAAATTCTGCCACTTAACTTGAAATAAGTCAGTAGCGGTTGTATTAGAATAATGACAGTTCCGCCTTTCTGATTGTAATAAATTAATTACTTAGTGGCAACAATAGCTAGAACGGGGTGTCTCTGCAACCTCTAAGCAAATCTGCAGCCTCACCACACCCTAGCACCATTCATATGAAGCTATCAGAATATAGAATTTAGTACATGCCATGAGCTCACCTGGTCATAGTGAGGAATAAAAAAGCAGAAAGAGTAGAAGAAATTAAGTAGGAAGAATATATAGAAAAATATAATAATACACTATAAAAGAACGATAAGTGTTACCAGTGATTGGGGTCAGTAGATAATTTTTCAGTCATGGATTTTTATTGGGATATTGAAAGCATTCATTTCACACAAAATCAGATAAACAGAACCAAAACCTAATTTTCTATTAACAAAAGTAATGTTTCCTCACCACAGGAAACACCTTAGGTTGAGGGTGTTTTAAAAAAATAGACAGTGTCTCTTTTTGATGTAAAAAAATACATTACCATCATCAATCATCATCACCAGATAAAAAGAAATCTGCTATTCATTACTTCACTTCACTTTATCATATTGTGTAATTTACTTGATTAAAAACCTCTAGGGAAAGAATGTTTTTTTTTTTTTTTTTTGACATCAGCCCTTAGGAATAACATAAATGTTACAAACAAATCACTAATGGGTACACTGCTTTTTTCCATGATTGCATAATGTGAGCTATGGATAGCTGCCACTATTCTACTTATTTGTGCTGCAAAGCAGTCATGTGTTCTATTTTGAAAGGCGGGTCAATCATTGTAAAATCCAACAGAGACCTCAAACTCATTCATGTTCTGAAGTCTAGTCTTCCAGTAACAACTAAGCATCAGGAGAGCAATATGCTTATTTGTCTATTTTCATCAAGTGTAAAGATGAGCAAGTTGGAAGTAAGCACTAAAGTTGGTAGTAACATTTTAAGCCACTTCAAATCACAACATGAATAGGAAAATTTTAAATAATTATGAAGACATGAAATTAATTTAATAAACAGCTCCTTTTACAGGCTATGAAAAATAATCACATTAGCAAGATACTGTAAGTCTTATAATTTTACCATTATGGTTTTTCAGGAAGGATATTGTAGACTTGAGTACTGTAGATTTATCCATCTTCCTGTTGTTCGTTGAGACCATTGAACTAAGCTCATTGACCAGCATATTAAACTGATCCCGTCGCTTTTTTTCACTCAAGTTACGAGTCCTCCTGTGTAAATTACAATGCAAATATATTAGATCATTTTTGACATGCCTGTTTCAGCTATAAACAGGTTCATTGTAAAAGCGAAAGTATTGCTAAGTAAACAGGCTTTTTGTGTTTTCTGTGTACTTTTCTGTTTTTAATCTGCAATCAACCGATAGTCTATAAGCTATAAGCTGACAGAATATACCGGTGTTAAGAGTCACTTGCCTATTGACAAAGTCACTAAAAATAGTAATCAATATTTGAAATCTGAAATCTTTGATACAGTTCAAGTATTGCTTGCTGCTTGAGGCATCCTGTGTGCCAGGTAGTTTGGACAATTGTTAAGTCACCTCTTGTATTTATGTAGGGTGAGGTAGAGTAGTTGGTGAATCTCATTATTTGAAAAAAATATCGAATATTGAATCAACATTTCAAAATCATTTTTAATATACCATTCCCAAACCTTTAGAGAACATTGATATTAGAATTACAATGCATTAAGATTGTTTGGTAGATCAGAACCTTATTTTTTATGTAATTTCAATTTTATGTCTGAAAATCAATACAGTTCTCTCAATCTAAAGCTCTAGTCAATAAAAATTCTGACTTTGTGGCAAATAAGTACATAGCAGTAGGCAGAGCATAAACTGTCACCTTGAGATTGGCTCGGCTACAACCACATAATATTTTTATACTATTGTGTAAAAAATTCATGCTCTTTTATCAAAATTCTACCTGTCATTGATTCCATTCATTGTTTGATTTCATTTTAAAGCGAAAAGTCGAAATTATCTTAATATTCACAGATTCACACTTTAATGTATTCTCTGTTTACATTCACATATTTTAAAAGATAATTGAAGAACTTTATAAAAACGAATGTAAGGCGCATATTATTTGGATAACTGCATACCTCTTAGTATCATCTTTGTCGTCTCCGTCGTCTTCCATACTGTTTGGACTTGGTTCTCTCAGTTTGAAAATTACTGCTTATCCAGCCATTACAGGCTGCGATCCAATACGATTCCTTGGGCTCGTTTTAAAACCAAGTCTCATTCGCCTTTATTAGACAATAATTATGCATGCATCTCCACTGTATTTTTTTATTCAGCACAGTCTTTCTGGTATATTTGTTGATAGTACTGAAATCGTTAATAACGAACTGTGCACTGCGTCGAAGTTTTACACAATTGAAACCAAATTATACATTGTCATGCATTTAGGTCAACGAAAAAAGTTTGTTTAAAAATATTTATACTTGTAAATTACTTAAAAACTTGCACGACAAACAAAAACATGTAATAGTCACCACTAAGCCCAACAAAATCGTTTTTAGACAGAACCGTTCAAGTCACCAAAAGCGATTTCGTCAATTTTAGTCTTTCACTAATCTTTCACGCAAGATGACAAAACATTGTTGCCAGTTTTTTCTTGTTTATCTTTTTACAGTTTCAAGCACAAACTAATTCTGTCAATTTTCCTTCAAAAAAGACCTTTAATTTGAAGGAACTTTGACTTTTGATTCTTAAAAACAAATTTAATAAACGTGAACTCTCAAAATAGTAACGTTTAGAAAAACAATGGAACTCGTTCACACAGTGCAAATATTTGTAAAAGTACTAATTAATACGGATGGATGATATTATTTACACTAGATGGAGAAAGTTAGTCAAATACCCCGGGATATTTCGTGAAGTTGATTAGTGAAATTAATTACTTCTTGTCAGGTAGTAAAATATAAGAGCCAATTCAAAGGTAAGAAATGTAAGATTATATTGCGACAGTAATGCCATCTTACAATTCCTCAGTTTTCCGGAGATATTTAAATTCTACCGTTCACGGGAGCCTTAGAATTGCTGGCAACCTAATTGTCCAGCTGTCAAAAGAGAAATACCAGTTGTTGTTGTCCATCTGTGAAAATCATTCATTCTACGACAGATTATAAAATTAAGCATTCAATAGTTCATCAATCAATCAAAAAATTTTGCTCTTCTACTTCACCTAAATTGCATTCATTCAGTTTGTGTCGTCCAGTGATTGTAGTTAGACGTGTTTCTGAATTTCAATAAAGTTCGTAGCGACGAGATCATGAAAATATAATACAACAAATAAAAACAAAATGAGACCGGCATTTGGCGGCAATCAAGATCCACCTTTCGACGTGAGTAAAGACAATTAATTCAATACTAAAGGATAAATATTAGCGAGCCGGGTGTGTGAAAATTTTGCACAAGTTTTTGAAACTGGTGCTTACACAATACCAAAACTACCTATCTATCTTTGCATTCGTCATTGTTATATATAAGTGATAGTTATGTAATATGTGTAAATCCTGGGGATGATCAAGCCGTTGACCGTGAAGTTAGGTAACCAGCGGCGTGTTCAGTGTTTATCTCGCGTAAATGTACCCGTGGCGGCCGGTACTGGATAAACATAATAAACGTAAACATCACCGTGCAGCGTACGTCGACCCGAACACCGCTCCCTTATTAGCGAACATCGCCAAATCACGATATTTTAGGAGTAAATTTAGGAATTGCATAAGTACCTACATATTACATAATTATTTTTTTCTTATTAAAGTTAAATGTACCTACAATAAAATTAATAAATCTTCTTTTGTATCCAAATGATATCATACCCGAACAAAATTTGAAATAAGACTTAAAAAAATAGTTAAGGGTAAATCAATTTGTACAGACAGACAGAGACCTGATATGATGTTACGAGTTGATTTTGGAACAAACACGTATTTACCTACAGACCCGAAATGTGTTAAAAATGGTCCGGTAACAGTTTAACACCGAATGGGTCGTGAGCTCATCAGTTTATCTATGCCAGTAAATAAAAACATTAGCAGAGCGTGCTACCAGTATCACCTATGCCTCATTTTTCATATAGTATCCACATGCTCCAGTCTAAAGGTTTAGGATATTATGTTAAATCCTTCTTGTATCAGTTGGTAGTTCGAAACTTTTGTTGTATATTTTACGTAGTGTACCAATCGTACTATTGTCGTGTGACATCGTACTATGTGTCGTGAGCTCACCTACCCGTCCGGTCGTAGCTGTAATAGCCCTCTAAGCTAACAGCGGATAAGTAAGAAAAAAAAGTCGCGTAAGTCTATTACGAATGCTGTTATTTCATCCATGATCAGTATAATGTTAAACAAGAACATTCATTCATTCAACATTCACGAGGGCAAAGGCTGGGGCACGATTGGAGGTAAGTCGACTGAAAGGCACGTGGTATTCACAATTACCGAAAATAACTAGTCAGGTCATAAGTATTGTCACACAGTAAAAACTTTTCTTTTAGAATGCTGGCCACAAAAAAGTTTGAATTCGAATTTCGAATTGTTCATGAAAATAAAAATGTATAACTTTTAGAATTTTACTCATTTTTAAATATGGAGTGGACGCTTAAAGAAGACCGTGTTGCAGTTATTGCGTTGCAGCGTTGCGGTTACGCGCCAATTCAAATTTTTAACATACTGAAAAATTTTAATATAACCAAAATATTCGTTTATCGTACCATGAAACGATACAATGAAGACTCTAGTGTAGATGACAGGTCAAGAAGTGGTCGCCCTCGGTCTGTTAGGACTCCAGCAGTGATAAAAGCTGTGAAGGCGCGAATTCAAAGAAATCCCTAACGTAAGCAGAAACTGTTGGCCCTTCAGATGGGGATAAGCAGAACCATGGTGAAAAGGGTGTTAAATGAAGACTTAGGGCTTCGGGCATATCGAAGAAAAACAGGACATCGTTTGAATGCTCGTCTAATGGACCTGAGACTGAAGAGATGCCGCGCTTTGTTGAAGCAGTACGCGGGAAAAAAATATCGGGAAATTCTTTTTTCGGATGAAAAATTTTTACCGTAGAAGAGAGCTACAACAAACAAAATGATAAGATGTACGCACACAGTAGTGAAGAAGCGAGCAACCGTATTCCGCGTGTCCAACAAGGTCATTTTCCATCCTCGCTCATGGTATGGTTGGGAGTTTCTTATTGGGGCTTAACAGAGGTACATTTTTGTGAGAAAGGTGTAAAAACGAATACAGTTGTGTATCAAAATACAGTCCTGACGAACCTTGTGGAACCTGTTTCTCATACCATGTTCAATAACAGGCACTGGGTATTCCAACAAGATTCGGCGCCAGCTCATAGAGCGAAGAGCACACAAGACTGGCTGGCGGCGCGTGAAATCGACTTCATCCGGCACGAAGACTGGCCCTCCTCCAGTCCAGATTTGAATCCGTTAGATTACAAGATATGGCAACACTTGGAGGAAAAGGCGTGCTCAAAGCCTCATCCCAATTTGGAGTCACTCAAGACATCCTTGATTAAGGCAGCCACCGATATTGACATGGACCTCGTTCGTGCTGCGATAGAAGACTGGCCGCGCAGATTGAAGGCCTGTATTCAAAATCACGGAGGTCATTTTGAATAAACTTTTGTGTCATAAGAATCTATGTTTTGTTAAGTTCATTTTGGTATATGAATGGTTACATAATAAATAAACTTGTTTCAATTATTTTACATTAAACATGTGACAGAATTTATGACCTGACTAGGTATTGAAGTTTACAAACGAGGTCGGGAACAACGACGATGCATTCTAGAATGCTATAAACAACAAACATTAATCAAGAAAAAATCAGTCAACAAAGGAACATGAATTAATATTTTACAATAAAATTAGACGGTAGTTGAACAATATTCACGCGTCGCACCTTCAGAGAAACACCTTAGGCGTCCGTGCTTATGAAAACAGTAAAATATTCTAAACGTCAGAAATAATAAAATTACAATAGTAAAGGCGAGATTAAACCATAATAGTACTTTTAATTACAATCGTGACATTGTGTAACATTGTGTACTTACCGTTTAGTAAGTAAAGGTGTCTATTTTAAATAAACATCTTTGATATCAATCAAACGTACCCTCAAGTTTTCGCTAGGCTCATTGATTTAACGTTAGAAACAAAAACGTGTGACTTCATTGAATTGTTTTTTTGTAAATTTGGACGTAAGGAGTCGCAAAAATATAGCAGTAATACAACAAACACCCTTACCGTGTAGAATCTATGCTGTGATACCGCCGCCATTGAAAGTGTTCACTAATTTGCGTCCGAACAACAAAAGGTACGTAATAAATTTAAGTAGCTAATATATATTTTTTTAATTGCTTATGTGGGTGGACGACCTCATGGCACACCTGATGTTAAGTGGTTACCGGAGCACATAGACATCTACAACGTAAATGTCGTCACCTACTTTGAGATAAAAGTTCCAAGGTCTCAGTTTTTACAGTACAATGGCTGCCCCACCTTTCAAGCCGAAACGCATTACTGCTTCACGGCAGAAATATGCAGGGTGGTGGTTGGTAATTAGAATTAAAAGCAACTGATTCGATTTTTTTTCTGATCCACCCCATCTCCTTGTCTTAGCATATGTTAACTTATGAAGTTGATATCCATTTCTACGAGTAATAACGATAACCATTCAATTTATGCTTTGGTTGTATTAATGGGTTGTGTAACTTCGTTCTTGTAATGTACAACGAACCTAGCGACGTTACAGAGCACGGATGAAGCCAAAATGTGCTTTGCTCCCAATTTGAAATTATTAGCAATGTAACATCAAGTTGCTTAATAAAGTTTAATGTTTCTAGTGTTTCTGTTTATGAAAATCTCAATGGAATACTTTCCAAAAACGTCATAATCTACAATGTAACGATTTTTCTGGAAATGTAGTTTATACGTAGGCTATATGTAGCCATGTATGTACTCCTTTTATTGGAATAGTCTATTTAGATGGGATATTTCCATTCGAAAAACTACAAGTTTGTTTATCAAGTAATTACAAAACTATAAAATATTTTTTCCCTACCTACACTGATAGCCTTGAGAGGCTATCTCAGCTTCGCCCTAACGTATAGGTGAGCTCACGGAGCTCAAACCGGGTTTGTTTGCTAACAGTGGCCCTAGCAAGAGCAGTCTAGAATCAAGAGAATCTACCGCCGGATCGGAAACGCGACCCACTGAGAAGATCCGACGAGAAATTCAGTGGACTGTGTCTATGGATTTACTCGTCGAGACCATCGTCGCAAGCGACGGGTTCGGCGAGTACGGTGACCGGTGCTTGAGGTACCTAAAAGCGCCGTTAATGGATCGGGAGGATTCGAAATGACGTGCGTTAGGGCGACGCCGACTGCTTACCATTAGCTCGAGATTGTTTTCGTAACATAGCCTATTTAAATTGGCAACGAGTCGAAATCGTGTATGCGACACGTAACACACACAAGATAAAATATCTTTTATTTTTTTCGTTTTACCGTATGCCCTCAGAATGAGGGTATTCTATAAAAATGTGTGTATGGTTGTAGATAGTATATTTCTATGTCTCAGTGTAGTTTTCACGTATTAACAGATTTGAACGATTTTACGAAAAGTGGCTACATTAACTTAATTTTGTAGCTCTACTGAGAGAATTCGATGGCCGTACCAGGGAATCACAGTATTGGTCGCAATAAACTGAGAGGTCTAGTACGAATTCTCAGGGGCCACTGTAAGTTGCGAAGGTCAACAAGTAGGCCTTGCAGCTGCAAGTATGCTGGGGTAAAAGAAAGAAACATTTGGCAGTAAATTATACTGTTCTGGAAAGCACGTTCTTTGCCCTCAGAAGTTGACAAGGAAAATTGTCCATTACATGCTGAATTGTGGTTTAAAAAAATACTATAAGAAAAAACACTTTCAATACACAGGGAACGTCACAATAAATAACATGGGATGCCAAATAGGGGGGTTAATAATTCCACCAGCCCTCCTTACAAGCGATAATAATAATAGACTTGTGTCAATGGGCAGGGTGACTTTGCATGTAATATTTAATAACTTCTTTGTAATAATGAGAGGCCGAATAAAGTCTCAGTGCATGCAAATATAAAATCTTATCTGTGAAAACTTAAAAGCTACTATATTAAGAGCCGATATTTGTAATTATTTTAATGGTGTCGCATTTATGAAAAACGTTAAAAATTTGTTCAAATCACAATCTAAAATGTTTAAATTAAAAAATAAATCGAAATCGATACATAATAATATTTGTTTTAAAATCCCATTCTTTTTCTCGTTTAAATTAAATTAGTGTTCGAATCGCGA